ACATTTTTGAAAGTGCATGTGTCCAGGTCCAAAGGAGGAGTTAAATACCTACCACGACCATGTAAATTAAGCCAGGAAAATATCAATTGTCCCCAAAAAATCCACAGAAGCCAGGGGTGTAAGGATGGAATTACATAAGTTTGGCAATAAAATGTTTAAAAATTAAGGACTAAACCTGATCCAGTAAAAAGGATAGGACCCATAACTCTGTGGTGTGAGGAGATATTTTGAACTGCACTCTGCAGGTAGACCCTAAAACAGTTTCTCGGAGGACACATCTTTTTGGTCAGATAGCCCAGTGCGTAGTGTACATTTGGGGCACTGAATATCTAAACCCTTCACTCCTTCAGGAAGCTTGGACTCTCATATCCCACCAAAACACCATTGCAACCAGACCATGAGACCAAACACCAAAGGCTCTCATCCAATTTGTTTAGAAGGTTTAACTATTCCCTGGGGAAGAGACAAGAAATTAGGTTGTAGTTTCCTTGGAGAATGTGCTATCACAAATCTCCACTGTCACCTTCTTCCTCCATTCTCATACCGAAAAACATTTGTAATTGTTTCTCAAGTAGAAGAGCTGTACCAGGAAGGGACTCGGAGCATCCCACCCTGCAGTGCTGCTAGGGCAGTCTCAGAGATGGCAGCAGGTGGGGCATGAAGTTCTTTGGGTCTCTGACATGCCAGAGGAGTGATCTGACCACCAGGTATCGGATTAAGAAAAGGGGGTAGGGAAGGTGCCTGGGTAAAGATACAAGATAAAGTATTAGCTTTACATTACTCTTGCTCAAATCAGTGGGTGGTTTGCCACTGACTTCAACCATGACCAAGCAAGCAAAAGGCTTTAAAAAAGCAGCTGCAAAAAATGTAACATACAAAGGACATCTTGGCTACTGTCATAACTGTCATACAACATAAATGTTAACCATACATTTTGCATCAGCAGGTGACACTCAGTGATGAGAAGTTAGCTTACTGGCACATCACCACAGACACAGAGCTTTGCTTTTGAATGCTTTTTGGTAAAACAAGCATATTCTCAGTCAGTTGAAGTCAGGCCTCAACAACTCACAGGCAATTTTTTAATATATTCAAAGCAAATTAACAGAGATTTACATACTCGTTTTTAACTGTGGCTTCTCTTCAATTGCCAAATGGATGTTCTAGTTCATTTCTTCTTTTGTTTCTGTCAGAAATATAATTATAACGCCGCGCAGAATGTATTACTGTTGAAAACAACTACTGCTAAGTGAGCTCAGCTCTACTGACTGCCTCCTCCTACCATCTAGTGGCACCTTAAGCATACTGCTCTCTATCTACACATTATTTAAAGAGTTATATGGGGAATTATAATAAATGTACACTTTTGAAAAGAGAAATATAACTGGAGAAGAAATATTTTGTTGTGAAAAGGGAAATCAGTTTTCATACAAGAACCATTTATGGGAGAACAGACCAGGTTCAATGGTATAAATTACAAAGGTCAGAGAAAAAAATCTGCATGTGGTCTTGTAAAGAGTAAGTCGGGCTTGTTGATTGAATTCTTACAGTTGGTTTTGTTTTTGGTTTTGTTTTTTTGGGTTTTTTTTTTGTGGCAGCACTTGGATTTTAAGCTGAAAGCTGTAGAATTAAACTATTCAATATCCTACAGAAATAGCTATTAGAAACAGAGTTGATCTGCTATTTACCTGGATATTTAAAGGGCACAACAAAAATTTAGAGAATGTCAAGAGTAAAGAATAATACAAAGCCTATAGTTTCCTTTCTGCTTACTTAATTTTATTAAGTGCTTTTGGTGATCCATTTTGCAATAGATGCTTCTGTTTAATTTAAGGAAAAAGAGATTAAACGTCAATGTACTAGGAATTTCAGGCTTGGGATGTTTTCAATCAAAAGGCATGTTCGGGCTGATTACATGACTCTGAACAAACATGAATCATCTAAAATGCTTTCTGTTCTTTGAACTTAGGGGTTTTTTTTTCCCAAAGTGCTGGTTTTGGTGTTTTCTGTTCTTTGAACTTAGGGTTTTTTTTTTTCCCAAAGTGCTGGTTTTGGTGAATTAGACTACAAATGAAACTAAATTTTTAGCTCATCGGAAAAAAGTGTATTTATTCCTTTCCACTTGCAGCAAATTGACAGAATCCAGGATATCCTTTGTTTTCTTTTCTTTTAACCATCTGCTGTTCTGTAATCTGGTCGTATTGATAAATTGTCAACATATTTTCCAGGGTGGAAAAATCCCCATAAGGTGGACCGCTCCTGAAGCTATAGCTTACCGCAAGTTCTCTTCTGCAAGTGATGCATGGAGCTATGGGATTGTAATGTGGGAGGTGATGTCCTATGGTGAGAGACCATACTGGGAGATGTCCAACCAGGATGTAAGTACTGCTGAGGACTAATCTACGAGTTGTTGAAATGTTACTTGAAAATGATTGTCACTCCCTGCCCTGCTTTGCTTTCTCATTAACTTTCTAGGCTGGAACCTCAGCTTATTTAAATCAACAAAACTCTTATCAACTTCAATGGGATAGTTAATTTATGAAACCTGAAGATCTGGCCCTCTATAACTAAAACCTTGACTAGCTTCCTCCTATGGATTAAAGACATATTGCAACTTGCCCAGGTTCTGATGCTGACTATTCATGGCTTTCACCCAGATCCCTAGAAATCTGCATCAAGATATGCAAGTTGATGCAAGTCTCAGTCAAGCTATAAATCAAAACTTGAAGGAATAGTGGAACTACTCTGATTATAAAGTTGGTCCATTATGTCCAGTACAGTCCGACAGTACCCTTCAATGGGCATACATGGTTAAATTCTAAAAGAGTTAAGCCGCCATGAGAAATGCATTTGCCAATTCTCCTTTCTAGGAATTGAGTGCATTCTATTTTCCTCAAAAACTACATATAGGCTTAACCACAGTGCAGGACAATAGCCCTCCCTTATAACAAAGTTATGTTATCCTCTGACTTTTGCAAAAGTTCTGGCCAAATAAACCTTCCCAATTAAAAAAACAGTTGCTTCTAGTAAAATTGAAGGTGTGTCCTAGGAAATGAAGCATGGGAAGGGGGGAATGCTTCTTCCTCCACCACAATTTAAATTTTCACTAATTGTCTTGTTTGATGGATCCCCTTGACAGCTCAAACGGGTATACTCAGTCTTCACACCAGCCATCAATCTCTATGTCAAAATGCAGGATATCACCAACCCGTCTTAACCTCTCTCAGATATGTGCATAGAATACCTCTGCATTGATTCTGAAGAGTTGACAAGACTTTTCCCAGATGGCTGGTATTATATTGTTGCTAAGTTATTCAGCTGTTCAAGTCTAGTTGCTTGTTAAGGCTGATCAGTCATTTGGGGAGAAGGATCTGAGAGATTTTCATTAAAAAAAAAAAAAACAAACATCATTTCAGAGTGTTTCAGGAAGAAAAGAAAAGAAAAGAAAAGAAAAGAAAAGCCCACAACCAAACTCATCCAAAACAGAAAAGACTAACAGAACTAATAAAGCCTTACTTCCTTTAGATTTTTTAGTCTACAGCTTCACTGGTACTATAATCCTACTTTTCTCCAGCATTTCTCTTATGAGTTTAGTCTTTGGAATTAGACCACCTCTCCTGTACCTCATTCTCCCCTGGAAATTCCTACAGCCTCCATCGGCCCTCCATGCACCCACCTGCCAGCAGCCCAGCTCCTTGCTGTGCTCCTTAGTTAACGTCAGGTATGGGACAATACATGCTGTGCCTGGGTTTGAGCTACACTTCTTTTGCTTGACCAGGCAGTGGTGGCTGTTTGCCCATCTGAAGAGAACAAGCATCCACTGAGCTGAGGTAGACCCTTTTTCTTCAGTGGAGACATTATTTTGGTACTAACTGAACTATAAACAAATCATGGATCTACTGTGAAATAAGCAGATAAGCCCAGTAGGCTCAATTCTGTTTCCCACAGTTAGCAATCTGTTGGCATTTGAGATGCCCTAGAGTAACTAAGATCTCCACATGCGGCTGACACAGGACATGCAGAAGACCTGAGTTCTTCTGGAGCAACAACTGAAGGCTAGGCAGGATACCTTCGGGAGTCTAAAATTAGACCTATGCTTAGACAACTTAATTAACACTACTTTTTCCCTGGGGCACAGTGTGAAATCATCTGGGTACAGACTCCTCATATATTTAAGGCTCTGTGTCCTACAACCAACTTTATACCTCTGCCAGCTGCTGATTCTTGCACAACTTATTTAATTTGATTCAAGTGGGCCAGTGGGTTCAAAGTGAATAAAAGATGAACAGGCAGACTCTGACTAACAATATGAGTACCCCAGCTATTTCCTTCCTGAACTGAGAAGCACTTACCAGCTCCTGAGCTACCAGAGCTTGCAAACACCAATCTACAGCAAACTGCTGTTGTTTTCCTTAAAAGGCCCCTTTTTAAGATGTGGTGTTTTAGGAGATGATTACTGAGGAGTTGGGACATCACTTCAATCTTGCAATAGCAGACGGTGCTATTTTTGAGCTAATCTTCTGTCCAGAAGCAAAGCCAAACACAATCATGTGAATATCAGCCTGTTCACAATTAGCATGCTGTTGCAAAACCTGATTACTCTGGATTGCATGGAATGCGCTTTGTATCAAAACGCACATATATCTTCAAATTTTCTGCCTTCCCAAATTAATAGATGCAATGGTTAGTTTCACTGTCAGCCTTCTTTTAAAGGGAGATTGAACAGAACAAGAAACTGGGAAAAAGGAATTGGAATTCACAGAATTACACAACAGCTAAGGTTGAGGGACCTTTCAAGATTATCTGCTCCAGCCCCTCTGGTTAGGCACTGTCAGCTAGAACAGTTTGCTAGGGACTGTCTCCAAGGATGGAGACTCTACAACCTCTGTGGCCAACCTGTGCCAGTCACTTGCACAATAGAAAAGTGTTTTCTTATGTTTTGATGGAATTTCATGGGTTTCAGTCTGTGCCTATTGCCTCTTGTCACTCAATGCTTTCTAAGTACAACGTCCACATGTGCCTTTACAAGCAAGGCTCACTGGGCAGTTACTTTATCCCTTTCACCTTTCATTAGCACTGCCTGGTTGAGGGAATGTGCTAATCATAAAAGCAGCAACAGTTCACAGTCCTTTCTGCTGTTGCCCCGTCAGTTGCCACTGGAATATCATCTGAGCCTATGTCATGGTTTGACCCACCTAGCAGCTAATACCATGCAGCCACTCACTCACCCACCCTCCTCCTGGGGAATGGAGGAGATAATTAAAGGGGTAAAGGGAAAAGAGACTTACGGGTTGAAATAAGAACAATTTAATAACAAAACTGCAATAAATTTGAAAATAATAATGATAATTATAATAGTAATAATAATACACAAATACACAAATGAGTGATACACAGTGTAACTGCTCACTGCAAAATGACCAAGGCTCAGCCTGTTCCTGGCTAACAATCCCATAGCAGGGAGAGTCTCAAAACTGCAGTCCCAGAAAAAAGAAGAGTCTGAAAGTCTGAGAGACCGAGAGCTGGGCAACAAAGTGAGTGAGAGTGAGAGCAAACTTACAGAGCCTCATCTCTACACTGGGCATGACATGCATGACATGGAATAGACTATTGGTCCGTTTGGGTCTCAATCCTAAACCCGAGGTCGAATCCTAAACCAGTGACTGGGGCTGTGCTCCCTCCCAGCTTCTCCTGCACCTGTAGACACTGGCAAAGCATGAGAAGATGAAAAGTCCTTGACTGTCCTGGCAACAACTATAAACATCAGTATGTTATCAGCCTTCTCCTCAGCACAAATCCAAAACAAAGCCTCTCACTAGCTACTATGAAGAAAGTTAACTCTGTCCCATCTGAAAACAGGATAGCGTATCATGGGCAATAGTCTTTTGTGTGGCTTTCCTCACCATGTAATTGGTATTTCATTTCGCCTTTCCCTCTGCAGCACCCCATTCATGGTTGGTTTCTTTAGAGATTAAAGAAGCCCATGAAGCCAGAGATACTTTTGAATAAAGTTGGCCTTCCCATGGTGCCTGGCTTCTGTGCAGTGCCAGTGCTTCCAGCTGCAATATCACCTCTCTGTAACTCTGCCCTTCGTCTTGCCACTCTGCTTATCTAGCTGCAGGCGATGAGCAGGTGGTAGTGACTGCAGCTCGAGTAGGTAGAGCGAAGAGGATGCTTTTTTACTGTATCATTTTGTCTCACTGCTGTGCGATCTTGTGCTATGAGATGGGGAACTTCATTTTCTATTCTAGTTGTGAGTGATTTCATCTGGTGTTGGGTTCATTCTCTATGTGCAACCCAACTGCCATCATGTCTTTTACTTCTCCTGTAATCATAATCCATCTCACACCAGCTCCGTTACCAGCCCAGCTCTTCACTCTCCCACTGCTGTTACCACTAACTGGGAATGGGGGTGAAGAGACTGTCTATCAAGTCCATTTGGCCTCACTATTCACCTCCTGGGAAGAGGGTTTGAATTAACATAGAGCCCAAGTCACCAGGTGAGAGCTGTGCAAAACACAGATCTTCATTCCAGCCTATTCTCTTCCCCTCTGTCACAGCCTACGATGTATCTACTCAAGGCCATGGCAGCAGTAGGAATTCATGAAGCAACTCTTCCATTTAAAGTACATTAAATATTCTGCTATGGCATGAGGACAGCAACATTAATTACTTCTACATCCAAAATACAAGTATCTGTTAATACAGAATAATGATTCAGGCTCTGCGAATGCTGCTTATGCTAATGATACTGACTCCTCAGGGCTTTCCCTGCAGTGCAGCAACACACAGCAAAAAGGACTCCTTCTCTCTGGAGCCCTACCCAGGCTTTCAGTGCCAAAATGGTAACAGTGAGTACCTGTGACCTTCTAAATACATTCAGTGACTCTAAATGTCATTGGGAAATTTCAAGTTATTAGACATATTGTAAAGCTTACTTTGATGGATATTGTTTTAGTACAATAAACTACCCTGAATTCACATGAGCTGACTTAGCAGAAATAAGCGGACTTTCCCAATGGTCAGTGATACTGTACATATTGCAGGGAAAGGAACAGAGGGGGCATGCACTAAACAGATTCATAAAAGACACATTATGCAGACAACTGTGGTTCTGCTACAACAAAATGTCTAGCAACATTAACATTACAACACATTGTGTTTTGATCAAAATAAAACTCTTCTCTAGTTAGCAATAAAATATTTATTGAATTGTGTGGAGTTTTGTAAAGTACCAAAGGTTTTGCAAGTATAAACTCCATAGAGCCGTGTCTATTTTTTCACATTTCATCTTACAAATTGCTTTTCTAATGAAACAATTTTAGGAAATTAATTCATTTTTTAGACCATGGCTAAGTAAGTGATGTTTTGAGTGGCTGCCAGTTAAATGTTCATTTCTTACATGCATAACATAGAAGCCAATGATATGCGCACCCCTACCCAAAGGGAGGCAATGCTAGGGGAAGGGAGTTCAGCACTGTCTGAAACGGTGCCCATTTGCCGTGTGAACACATCTTCAGTCAGGTGAACAGCAGGGCTGAACTAAGGTTACCAAGGGTCTCTCGTTAGATCTCTCAGTCACAGCAATCAAATCCCAAGGAGCCAGCACAGGTAGCACTGAGTCCAAGCTGGTGCAAAACCAAATGTTGTACTGATACCTCTCACCTAAATAAACACCATCTGATTTTCAGAGACTACTACTGTTTGCAGGCACCTACCAGGTCAGTGCAAGCTGGAGAGACCCAACACCTCTCCAAATCTAGTGTCCTTTATTTATATTCCTGAGCAGGGATTTGGAAGCTGAACTTTAGGCAACTGAGTTTGAAAATGTTTTTCATAAATGTTTTAATACTGTATGTTGTAAAATGTAGAGGCTTAAAAATGTTATAAACTTTGAGAAATATTCTTGTTTAAGTAAATAACCATTTTATTTTGTGGTAAGTCACTTCAGACCTGTGTTGATACTGATTAATGCACTTCTTAGATGTGTGACAGCACTAGAGGTGTCCATTAATTAGGGCTGCTGTCTTGTCTTATTGCTTAATTAGCTAAGATATTGAACTTTCCAAAGAAACTAGTGTACTCATGAACAGATTGTGTTGAATGCTTGGCTTGCTAATGCTCATTTGAGGAAAGGAAGGTTTATGTTCCATGCGTTTGGTTTGTAGAACAACTGTGAGCAAAGTCTACTGGGACACCTGTTAGAGGCCACTGTATAAATTAGTGCATGTTGCAGAAGTACAGGAGTAAAAAAAAAAATTCAATGGTTTGTGATCAACATGCAAGAAAACTACTGTAGCAAACAGCATAAGAGTCCTTACACTTATAAAAGCTTCTTGTAATAGTACCAGTAATTTGCCCTAATACAGTTCTTTCAACCCACAGATATCAGAACACTTGGCAGGCACCTGGGATTGGCTCCATACCATGAGGCGTGAGCAGCTGCCTCTCCCTCCTGGTAGATTTGTCAGATGTCAGCAGGACATAGGGACGAAGTCCCTCTGGACCTTCTTCTGTCTCAGTCACATTAAAAAATCTGTCAGTTATCTTCCTAAAGTAAAAATCTATGTTACTGTTAATAATGAAACTATCAAAAAAATTACAGCTTAATTTTCAGATGCCATTTTTGCCAATTTTGAATTATTTTGAAACTAAACATGCATAAATTTGCGTAAATTTTATGTAGAAGTCCATAAAATATTTTTCAGATATTTTTGGTATCATAATTAATATTTAATATTAACTCGGTGTTCAACCATTACAGCAATGTCTAACATAAAACAAAAATGATCAAATGTATTCAACAGGATCCAGTGTTTAATATTATCTGTGCACAAAAATATATAAAAAGAATGGTCCCCTTTATAAACATAAAGGCCTAAGTATTAAAAACCATGGAAATAATTAGCTATGTTAACTGTAAAAAAAATATTCCCTTTCCCTTATAGTTTATATTCTCACCTACTGAAAAGCATCACTTGTAAGGTTACACCCTGGCCGTTTTACTTACCTTAATGCTGACCCACAAGACCTTCTAATGAGTTTTAAACATACTCATCGCTGAAAAGAAACCTACAGCCTCTTTCTCAGTGTTTGATGGCAACACAGAATATTTGCATGTTTTCCTCCTTTTGATACTCATCAAGTATTCATTACAAAAGTAGAACTAGAGAGCAGTAATCAGCCTTTTTGTTAACAGACTCAGGGCTTCATATGTACAGAAACTAAGCTAATATTCCTATTCTTTCGGGTTGAAATAGGTGGGACATGGATTTGCCAGTGTGGAAAGAGTTACGCCAACTGCTAGAGCTGTTGCTATATCCTTCTTGTAGACAGAGACGTTTCGACCGTTTCACGATCAATGTGGTGCTTCTTCAACCTTTAAACTGGAAAAGGAAAAAGTCATTTAAAAGTTGTTATCATATATAATGCTTATATATTATATAATATATAATTTTATATTACCAAGAAAAATTTAATACTTCCCTTTTAGGAATGTAGATATCTAATTCCTCTGTTCAGAGATAGGGGCTATGCAAGCAGCAAAGCAGGAGCTAAAATGAATAAGTAAAGAAATAAATAAGGAACTAAAAAGCTCTAATTCTTCCTTTGATACTTGATTCTCATTGCAGTATTAGACACTTATCACATCTTTACTCTCACATCTTAGACTCTAAAAATAATATTTTTGCCTTACAAGAGATACTAATGAGGCAATATTTGCAGTTTATTTTTAAAATGTGCTAGTATTAATAATAAATTGTAATTATCCCAGTACCAGCTGGCATTTCTCTTCATAGTTTAATGTTCCTTTTGAACAAGAGAGGAAATGAAATGCACTGTAACTTCTTTTCCAAAGATATGGTAAAATAGAGTGTGCCAGAGGAAAATATAAAGTCTGGAAAATTGTGGTTGCTTTTGATTTTTTCCTGAAAAATGTATTTCAGAAAAACCTCATCAGCTCTCTATTGTTGTGTTGAGAGAGTGCTGTATGTATCATAAAAGTAGAGAAGCTTTTCCTTTATTTTAAAAACAAAATACATTTCAGAAATTCAGCATTTGCAACAGGTACAGTTAAATGTGACGACTATGATAACTGCATTTCTGGGCTGCTGAAGATTGCCTCTTCAATGACAAGTATCAACTAAGCTACATCCCACTCTGTTAACAAGTACCTGTGTTTTATGAAGCCACTTTGGACAGACTGCTTGAGATAGATGAGTTTTGACTGGTTTGTGAATAAAATTTCATGCATGTGAGGTGGAATTTCCCCCATCCTGAGTCTGTAACAGGACCAATCTGGGAGCATATGCATTGTTAGGAGGCAAAGCTTTAGAGGAAATATTTCTTTGTCAATCAGATGGTATATTTTTCGTATGGCAGCCATTTCAGCAGCCTAAATTTTGGACCATTGCAGTAAATCCCAGGGAGATAAACAAGTAGCCAAAAAGGCAGGTGGAAAGATTATCATATTGATGTATAATTTACGTCTAGATATCATCTCAGTTTGTGTGTGGCCAGTCCCATCTGCACGTAGGTGACCTGTCAATACTTACCGGTGCATAATGTTTAGAGATCTCTATGGCACATATGGAGTAGCCTGTACTTCCCAGAGCTGTTACCGATGGGTCTGCAACTTACCCCATGCAAATCCAATTCCCTGTCACATTGTGAACACTTGTTTTTCATGCATAGGTGTTTCTGACAGGGTACTAGAGGGCTATACACTGTAGGACCACCTCATTTTATAAAACTCAGACACCCAGCTGTGTACAGCTACAAGAATCTTGTTCTGTTCTACACCATAAGGGGTGCTAAGGACCTAATGTAGCTTCATTACTCTTATTTATTTGCATAATGCTTGCAGCATAAACATTAGGCATTGCTAAACAGAGACAACATTAATTCAGAATTCAAAAAGAGAACAAGGATATATTCCAGGATAATAAGACTGAATATATTGAAGCTATAGCTAGTGCTATAAAACATTGATTTGCTGTGAACAGCTTAACGTACCCCCTTCCAGCTGCATTAATATGTCTGCAGCATGTACATACATCTGTGTGAAAATTACAAATGTCTCCTTAAAGCAGAGCGGGCATAAATGCAGTAGGTACGTTTCTCATAAGTGCACTGTGTTATAATAAATATTGTGTACAATCATTTGTACTTTAGAGAACATTTAGCATTGGCTGGATTTTTGTGTGGGTTATGTGGTAGGGCTGTTTTTTTTCCTTAGCTTTGTTTTTGATCAACCACTTATTAGCTTTCCATTCTTTTATACAAAAGAAATCCTGACTATGTAGTTTCTATCATCATCCCCACTGCTACCAGCACTCATTGCAGAACCTAGTAACCTTTCATCTGTTTTTTTACATCTTACAAAGAATGAGTCCAGCCAGCTTTTCATGGACTTTACCTACTTTTGCTACCTCCTATCACACAGGGCTACTAATATCCTTTTCAGACAATGTTTTTTGTTACCTGTGTTACTAAAGACAACTCTGATCAAATGCAATTTTTCATACATGTGATTTATCTGTGACATCAGATCTAGTTCTTTCCAAATCCTGACAAAAAATGTTTTCCACATCTGCTGAATCTGAAGGTTTACTCACTTTAGGGTATACAGTAACATTATACTTTTATTAACTTTTTTTTAGTCATAAACAGCTTGGACATGCAGGTTTCTGAGAGAGGCTGTGCAAAATACTGCTGTACTTCGCTGTAAATTGGTGTGGGGGACATGGCCTGAATTGATCATACTCTAATGATCAGCAGAAACATATTATCACCAAGTAAATTTTCCAGGTGCATTGAGCATTTGTAGTTCTTGATTATATCATGCATGACACTGCCACACACTAACACTTTGTCAGGATGCAAATATGAGAGCATCCCAGTATGCAGTGGCCATACAAGGTTAGTTTGTGGCCCTGTGACTCCATTCAGTACAACATGGACCTGCAGGCAGATGAAAAAGATAGTGATACTGGTTAGTTCCTTCCTCTCCTCCTCCTTTCCTGGCTGCTTGAAGAAGATGGCTGGAGAGCCTAAAAAAGTGCCTACTGTGTTTCATATGCCTACAAAATACTTTGCATCTCCTCTGGTAACACTCCTGCCAGTCCCAATTCCCTGAGTGAAGCCCCAGCAATACCTGAAGTGAGGATGGCTGTGCCATTAATTGTTATGACTGGTTTCTAATTGTCAACTTTACACTGTCCTTTCAGTATTTAATGCCCAGTAATCATATGCATTGTATTTGTTTAGGTTATACTGTCTATTGAAGAAGGCTACAGGCTTCCAGCTCCCATGGGTTGCCCAGCTTCTCTTCACCAACTAATGCTTCACTGCTGGCAAAAGGAGAGGAACCACCGTCCAAAATTTAGTGATATTGTCAGCTTCCTAGACAAACTGATCCGCAATCCAAGCACCCTTCATAACTTAGTGGAGGACGTACTTGTGTAAGACTCTTTTCAGAACTTTTTTTTTTTTTTATAATGTATGCTGGGTATCATTAGATTGTTTAGGGCATTAAGAAGGGATGGGAGTGAGCTGCAAAATTCTGAATTAACAAAGTTGTGGGGTTCAAATAACTTTAAGCTCTTTTTAAGGTTTGCTTTATTGTTAATAAACTGTTGTATAAGGACTTTTTTCTCAAGTCATGCAGATTATATTAGGCTTTTTTTTTTTTTGTCTGAGCTCCATTTGTGAGCTGTTTATCCTTAATCTTTGTGCATCTCTTTGTTCATTTTTTATATGCTTCCCCTATGTTCTACTTTTCTCTTTGTTATTTTTTTTCTCTGTTCAATAGCCTGTTTCTCCATCTGACAGTGCTCAAGCAATTTCTGAACTGCCTTGGAGTAATTTCCTGCAGAAAGTAGTTGGATCTTAGCTTGCTAAATCTTTATTTATCTGCAGAAGAATGGCAACAGTAACCAACAGAGATTATGCTATTACCATTCTACAACAAATTCTTGATGGTGTTGTCTAAAGTTCTTTCCATTTATAATACTACAGAAATGAATGCAGGCACTGGAGAAACAAGGCTGTGGTGGAAGAACTTGTGAATTTTCGTAGGCTTATTGATCCAAGCTGTCCGTGGACATCAGCTGACATCAGTGAAGGTCCAGGTGGCCTCACTCTCTTCATTAGCTGCAATTCACCTTAAGATAAAGGTGCTTTCATGGAGACCCCCCTGGGTTTATAAAGGGTTCTCAAGGCCTGTGTGGGTCTTGCTGAGGACCTCAGTGGGTTATGAAGGTTTCTTTATATGGTTTGGAGAAGGGCTGAACAACAGGGCAAATACTGAGGCTGGTGTTTTGCTGTAGGAAAGGCTGAATGGAGAGGTTACTAGGAAAACCTAGAGTTAGGGTTACAGCCGTTGTGTCTACCTGAAGCTGGTGGGACTTGTGGGATTTAATCCCCATGCCCTAGAGTTAGTGGCCTCTATGTGTATGTGCATATAAATATATCTATGACTTGCTACTTGTACCTGAGTCACTTTATTTAGTATCAAAGTACTGTATTTTTATTTGCTTATGTTAAAACATTACTTAAGATCTAAAAAATTATAGCCACTTTCTTGCAGTTGAGATTTTATTGAGCTCATCTGCTTGGGAAAGTTTTTTCCATTTGTTGGGGAATGCTTGATGCAGTTAATCTGAATGATTGTTGTGTTACTGTTAACTTATGAGGTCAGTAGTTATTCTACAGAATCATACAACCATAGACTAATTCAGGTTGGAAGGGACTTTAGTAGGTCTTTAATTGAGGTTTGTACTTAACAGTGTTCTCCTGTCCTTCAGTTTCTCTCTCTATCATTTTGATAATATTTATAAATATCAGTGTGTTTAATGTATTTGAATATGTGTGGTTGAAATTTGAATATGTGAGTATGTTAAGATACGAGGGTGTGTTGCTTCCTACATTATACATAAGTCAGGTTCCTTCAGTTCATGTTGGCTGGCTTTTGCTGTCTAAATTTTCATTTTAAATTACATCTTTCTCCTAAAGGCTATCATAAAGCTTTTATAAACAGCAGTGTGCTTTTTCTGCATTCTGTTCCTACAGCTTCTCTACACAAAATGTACAAAATCAGTGGATGTTGTGAGCCCTCCCCAGTGTAGTACACAACAGAAGACTGAAAATATATGCCCCAAAATTGGAATCTTATTTTTCCATCTTTCTCTTTCAGTTGTGACCAGAATGTGACTAAATTAGCTCCTTCATTTTTATTTGCTACTCTATATAATTCTATGTAAAAGCAAACATACAAAATTTTATTCCTTTTGCTTCTTTTAGGATTAGTTTTAGGTTTTGAACACTGTAATCAAAATGTTCCTATTGCATAATGATATAGCAATAAGGAGCCATTTGGGGGGGGTTGTAGATAAATGTAAAAATCATCTTGCAGTATTTTAATATTTTTAAATTGTATCTCATGTTAAATTTTGTTTGTCCTCTACCTTGACTACTGTATTTACAACTTGTTATCATCCGGAACATGTAAGATCTGTAAAGAAATGCTCTGTGGGAACAAAAATAATAGCCATGGAAGAGATCTGTTCCTTGGTTTGTTACTGTGCTTTAAAAAGAATGTATTGTTTAAGTAGTGCAACTTGGCAGAGTAATATGGTTTGTTTTAGACAACGGGTTAAAGGGATCCACAGTTAAGATCTGACCTTTACAACTCAGGCTCCTCTCTCATTCTTTCTGCCTTTTCATAGAAGTGATGCCTCCCAGAGTAAATCGTGTCATATTTTGTACTGCTTTGGTAACCTTTGCATTTTGTTTTTACAGAATGCCAGATTCACCTGGTGAAGTTCCAGAATATCCTTTGTTTGTTTCAGTCAGTGACTGGCTGGACTCCATAAAAATGGGTCAGTATAAAAATAACTTCATGGCAGCAGGTTTCACAACTTTGGATATGGTTTCAAGAATGAGTATTGAGTAAGTATGTAATCTCTTATCCCTACAGTGACTAATCAATCTGAATTTCTTTGGATGGTGCAGTGACTTAATTATCGTGATGTATGGAACAATGCTTTAATTTCCTTTCCTACCTAAGATAATGAAAGACAAATACAGTTTTTTACCAAAATGATGCAAGAGAAAGATGTAATTAAGAGACTCAGAATTGACAGTTTCATTCTGTGACCATACCAAATACTGCCAAAGGTCAGGCAGAGAACATCCTTCAGTGTTTCTTGGGAAATCAGTTTTGATCTAGACCACTGAAATCAGTGGCAAAAATCTTTCCTTACTTTTCTGTGATAATCATCAAGCCCATGTCAGTCCTCATGTGGAAGTTGTTCCACGCCTTGCTGCCCTTCTTCAAGCATGGCTAACTCCCCTCTATCATTTTTAAAAAGAAAACATTGCACTCAGTATATTAAGTGTTTGGGCAAGTTATGGATTAATAAGGTAGCATAATTATATAATCTATTTTGTTCTCTATTCCCTTCCCATTAATTCCTAATCTTTTATTTGATGCTGAGACTATCTGTATGAATAATAGTAATGGTCAATAATTTTATGTGTGAAGTTAGGACTTGTTTTCTCCCATGTGTATCATTTTACTTTCACCTACATTGAATTTCATCTGCTGCTTTATGGCATTGTCACTTAGTCTTATAAAATCCTTCTAAAACTCTACACTGCTGGCCCTTTCCCTTACTGCCCTGAACAATTCAGTCTCATCAACTAACTTTTTCACATTTGTGCTCACCTGTTTTTCCAGACCATTTACTGATTTGTTGAACAGTAATGTTCAGCATTATCCCAGAGTAGGTCCCTGCACAGGTTTCCATTATGACTGCATTGTAAAACTTGACAAGTTAGTCCTAACCTTCTGTCTTTAAACCAGTTATTTAGTCATACAAAGACCTTTTTATGCCTTAGCTCCTTATTTTCCTTATAAAGCTTTGATGAGGAATCTTCTTTAAAGCTTTTGGAAATCCAAGTAGGGCGTATCAAACAGATCACCTTCATCCATATGTATGCTGACTCCTCCATTGGAAACAAAACATTTTATAAAACAGGGACTTCTCTTTGCAAGAGCCATAGTGATTCAAGTAGATAATTTATCCAAGCATCCAAATAATTCTGTACTTTCTGTTATGCCCTGTAATGATGTCAGGCTCATAGATCTGTAGCTCCCCAGATCTCCCCTGAAAACTTTCTATTTTGCCTGGTACTACTCTCCATGCCTCGGGCACCAAGAAATTTTTAAGCAAGTGGAACAAAGCTGAAACCTCTGTTTCCACATCCCTGATAGCAATTCCACTACTTCATCCTTGAACCCTTTTAAAACTCTTGGCTAAATATAGTCTTGTTCTGGAGGTGGGTTGTTGCTTGTTTTTTCAGTTCGGCCTATAACCTCTCCTACAGTCACTTCAACTTCAGACAGATCCTCTGACAGGTAGTCCATAAAGGTTCTGGCATGGGAGCCACTTCAATTTCTTCTGCAGTGAATATTGATAAACTCAAATAATTGGTTTAATCTTCTGTCAGTGGCCAGTCTTTCAGTGCTCTCATATACCCAAATCATCATTAGACTCTACAGACACTCTGGCAGGCTTCTTGTACCCTAGTGAGCTTGCAAAATCTTTATTGTGAGTTTTATTATTAGGTGTCTTTTTCTCGTTGTTCCTCAAAGTTTTTTTTTACCCTGCCTTACTGTGCCTTTACAGATAATCTGCCTAAAGTTACAATTCTTTCTACTTTCTTTCTTTAGGTACCACTTCAGCTTTTTGAAAGATTCCTTTCTTTCTTCAAATAACCTCTGTTACCCTAGGTCTGCTGGCTTCTTTCTTGGTTTTATCAGGTCTTCCTTGATAGATCTTATGCATTGTTCCTGCATTTCTAATATCACTCCCTCTTATAAAGGTTTATTCTTTTAGCTGACTCTTTTAGTTTTTAAGATGTTCGGTACTTTTGTATAGTCCCTGCTGACCTTAAGTGTTGTGTATCATCCTGCATGTGGATGTTAAGCCCAAGTATATAATAGTTGCTGCTATCCAGTGGCTCTTCATCTGGAGGATACAGAGCCAGGTATCTTGGACTGCAAATCTGAAACGCATCAATGTCATGCTTCATCCCCTAGGTTCCTTTACTAGCTATGTCGTCAAACAATTTTTGAGGGTATCTAAACAGGTGACATCTACGCTATGTCCCAGCATGGGATTTGCACAATTGACAAGGCATATCTGAAGCTTCCTGCCCTCACCTGTGATCTTTCTAAGCATATTGCAGTTGGTGGTTTAGAGCTAGTGGATTGTGCTGGATGCTCAGGGCTGTTGACTTTATTCCTCACAAGGAGCTACCCCCTCTGGGGTGCAGGTCTAGATGAGATGAAGGGAAACAAAGAGGGAAATCTAGGTCCAGCTGGAAGATTCACTGCTATTCTGATTTTTAGACCATGTCTCAACGCCATTCCCCAAATCATCAGAAGAACAGCCTCTGTTATTTCAGCCTCAAGATAGCAAAAGTGAGTGTATCAGCCCTGTTCCTTTGCAAGCATAAGTGGAAAACATTTGCTACTAACGCATTACTAAAAATGGGATATTAGAACCCACCTCTTAGGTTCTTCCTCAATATTTGGAAAAATTGCTTGACCATTAGTATCACAACAGATACCAATGTTCTAACTACAAGATTCATTTTTTTCTTAAATGTCTCTTTCAAAAAAATTTGGAAAAATTTTCAAAAAATTTGGAAAGAAAACTTGGACATTTGCAGCATTCTTATGTCCCAACCAGGAAGTAAACTGTCCTGAAGTACAGCAATTCATCATATATTAATATAGTCTTTTGTGTGCAAGAGGCTTTACTATACTTGCATCCAAGGTGAAACTTTTTATTTTGCAGTGACATTAGAAGAATTGGAGTTGTACTCATTGGACACCAGAGACGAATAGTCAGCAGTTTACAGACTTTGCGGTTACACATGATGCACATACAGGAGAAAGGATTTCATGTATGAAAGTACTAGAATCAACTGTGTTTTGTGCCTCAGCATTTCTAAAACTGAAAAATATTCTCATTCTTCACTTCTGCTCTTCCCAACTTCAAGAACTGCAGTTTCCTGTTCAGATTATAAGTACTTCTATGTTAATGCTTCCACACTGGAATTTTTAATCACACTGCATAGCTCCTCTGCCAGTTATCTGACGATAAAATCCTGGCCTACTTCAAGACTCTTTCTACACATTGATGAATAACTCAGCATGGATGTGTAACTTTGTATAACAGTATTTGGGAAACTTTAATGAACTTACTTGAAAGTAGTAATCTATTTGGCCTGGTGTGGCTTCTTTATCAATGTATTTAGAGTTTGCTGGTAGATCAAAAAGTATTTGACTTCTTTCATGTTCTGTGACCATGTAACTTCAAATGCCAAATGTGCAATCAAGAAGTTTGACATAAATATTTATTTTATCTCTTGATTAAATCAAAATGTATGGATCCTATTGTTATATTACTTTATAATAGTTTAAATGCTGGTAATCTGGTGCCCCAAAACATTAGTATTGTTTGCAGAAATGACTGATGATTTTATGGAGCAAGTTCTTATTGTGTGAATAATTGGAAGGATAGTGAGGGAAATGTTTGAAATCTTAAGGTCCTTGATTTTGAATTACTTTAGCACTTGACACTTTTTACGCACTGAATTTTAGATTAGGTTGGAAATCCTGTTCATCCTTGGGATTCTTTGCCACCCTAGACATTTTTGTTTTAATACTTGGCATATGCTTCTACTACATGGCAAATATTCACTGTAAAACTGTTTGTAATGTTTCCATAACCACATGTAAAACATGGTTGTCTGCTATATTGTGGCCACATAAGACTTTGGAAAGCTTTCTGTTCCAAAAATGCGAGCTTCAACTGCTTGAACTAAGCATAATTTCCACCAGTGGTAGTAGACCGTAGTGGGCCAGCCATCAGTGGGGTGGTATGTTTATTGCCAGGGGACCAGACCAGCCAGAACATCCTCCAGCTGGGGGCTGTGGTACCACCACCAACTAATGCTGGAAGTTACATGCTGCAGTGTTCAGTTATCTTGTACGTAGGCAGAAAAGATGTAGGACAGCAGTGTAATATGTTGCCTTGAGTCTACTTATAACTGCTTTTAGAAGTAAAAAGTAGATTCTGCTGAAATGGAGCTCTGGTTACTATGGGCTAGATCTTCATTTAGTACAGATATCTAAATGACATTGAAGACAATTACCTTCAGAACTCTTCAATAGCCATATTTACATGCAAGAAAATGGCTGCAAAGGCCTAACATAACATTTGTACCTCTCCAAGAATTACAGCTTTCACATTTTATTCAGGCAACTTACACAGACATGCTGGGCTACGTTTCCAAACTTCTACACGGGATGTGCGCTACTGGGAATGGGGGAATGAGCGCATGTCTGCATGCTGTAGAAGTCACGTGCAGCTCTACATCCATGTCACATGTAAACTGGGTGCAGATACTTTTGTTGATTTATACATAGTTTGGAGGACATTTTCAAATTACACGGTGTTCTGATATATTCAAACATTACAACTCTTCTGTTAAAACGTGCATTTGGGTAATAAGTATAATATATGTGTATATCAAAATGAACTACTTTATGTAATCATAATGATATTTACTGCTTCATTTACAGCTTGTAAATCAAAATGTATTTCCTAAGTCTTGGGAAAGGCTGCCATTGCATACTTGTGGCAAAGAAGGAAAATCAGAAAGCAACTCAGAAAAGATTATGCTTCCAAGAAATTCAGAGTAAGACATGCTAGGCTTGATTCACTGTTGTCACTTTATGTTGGAATAACTGCATTAATTTAAGTGGGATAACAGTAATGCACTAAGTAAATTTTCCTTTCTTTCATTAAAAAACCAGATTTAACTGAGGAAAAAGTTTTCTAAAGATCAGGATTCGCCAGAATTCAACAATGACAATTTGATGATCTTGTTTAAAGAAGGGCAGTACCAGTCCCATTCTAGCTACAAAGGTAATTTTGCCAGCATGAGTAGTCCTGCTCTGAACCCAGTAGGACTGTACAAGCATGTATGTTTTGCAGGATCACAGGCTTTTAGTGGGGGAAAAAAAGCATTTGTTCTTTTCTGTGACTGTCACTGGAAAAATTCTGCCCCAATTCCACATCTGAATAATTTTTTGGTAAAGGTTTTCTTATGGAAAGAAAATCATATTTACTTGAGGCCTTTTAAAAAAATACTATAATCAGAGTAATTTAAATGTTGATTTTCCTTTCTCATTTTGTTATCCATTTTACCATCATTGCTTCTGTGGCCAACAATGTGACATCTGTGGAAGAAGCCTCTCTCACAATTAAATGTTATTGAGGAGGTATGAGTCTGTTGTTAGTGGGGTTTCAAAATTACTCATAACTAATCCAAACCATGTATGTGCACTTTTAAATTCTGCTTTTTACTTTTTTTTTCCTGGTGGTTTGGATGCAGACTGGCATGTTACATGCACACAACCTGGATATATGTCATGGAAATTAATTTCCAAATTTATCACACTACTGAAAATATATTTTCAATAGAAAAAAATTAAAACATTTATTAATCAGATATATTTTTTATATCAACAAGAGTTTGGGTAAGCAGAAAGGAAAGAACAAGGGATTCTTGGGGTGAAAACATCTATTAAAAACATTGTAAATCCAGGATTTTGTGGGTTTATACAGCTTGCTTTTTGTTGTTGCTGTGGTACAGTATGACATTTTAATAATAGCTAACTTGATCAAACTTACTTTTTCCCCATTTTGGAAACATTTTATTTGGGGAGTCGGAGGGGGGTGTGCCTGTTTTTTGTTTTTTTTTTTTATTTAAAAACAAACAAAAAAGCAATGGGTGTTATTTTTCAAATGTGAGCTTAATTCTCTACAAGTCACAAATGTATATGTGAAATGAGAGTAACTTTCCTTGTTACAGGGGATACTTTCTTCAGGTGAAAATTAGCTCTATTTAGTTATCCTGTATACTGCAGTGTGCAGTTAGAGTTCAAATTCAACAAATTTAAGCAAATCTAGCAGGCTCTTTTTGAGAATCTGTCCCATATTGCAGAGTACTTTCATGACTAAAAGTGCTAATTGAAAATTCACAAAATAAAGTGTGCATGAGATGCAACCCTCCTCTCCCCCCCCTCCACCCAAAAAAAGGCAATAAAATGTAGACATGAGGAAATAGTTCTAAGTTATTCACAAGTAATATCCATGCATAGATTTTTTTCTTACAGATCTGATTGTTGCTAATCTAGAATAAAATCCATCAATCTGTACTGTTACCTCTACTCATGTATCACTTAAGCATCCAAAACATAGCTTAAGTGAGAGCCTTGACTACTGAGAAGGACCACGTTAGTGTCTCCTGGCCGACAAGTACAATGCCCCAGTCCATTATGTGCCAACTGCAGTGCTTCCAAAGTTGACTGACAAGCAACTTGGATGTCCATGCCACCCCAAGTGGGGTGGTCATCTAACATGGAAACCGTATCAGTCATCCTTACTCAAGCTACCCCCACTTGTCAGTCCGATCCCTGAGACCTATTGGGATGCATTCTTCTCACCTAATTTTGGAGGTCTGCATTTAAGCTAGTCATCTGAGGTCCCTTTTTAATCAGTGAAGAGAAGAAGTGGGCCCTTGTAGGATGTGAGTCATCTGACAAACATAATTATTTACTCTTGGGTTACATGAATTGTGCCAAAGAAGCACCTGTTTCTTTGCATTCAGAGAGATCAAAATGACTAGCTCATATCCAGGCATCTGTGTGTTTGGTTGGATTAATCTCATGTATTGGTTGCATCCAGTCCTTATGCTGAACCTGTGAAAAAGAGAAGATCTTGTCCATAATGCTGGTATTAAAATTGAACAAGTAACAGCAGAAGGCTTAGTAGGCTTTCCTCATGTGTTGCTTGCACATTGGAATTACTGAGAAGCAGTGGCACTCCATGAGGTGAAAGGAAAAGAATTGAGCTATGTAATTTAATTTTTTCTTAAACAAAAGTTATGCTTTTTGTTTCCCATGAATGTAAATTCATTGTCCGTCCAATAAAAGCCTAGACATGTGCTATGCTTTAAGATATCAGCCAAGACTTTTCAGCATAAGGCAATTCTTTAATTGCAAGTAGTACACTCAATTACAAATTCAAATAAATTAGTTGCTCTGGAAAAAGCATTATGTGTCCAAAATTGTATTAGGTATTAACTGGATTATTCTGACTTTGAACTCATAGACTGTAGTACTTTGATTTTTCTGTAACTTAAGACTGACTATGCATTTTCCATTTTCTATACTGGGCTCCATTAAGTTCTTTTTTGGTGCAGATTCATACAGGGTCCAAAGGTGGAGCATAAGTAACATACAGGTGCCCTCTATTCAGATGCAGTAGAGATTTACTTTGTGGAATAGCTGGGACTGTGGAGGTGCTTACTGTGAGTGTACTAACCACAGCATTTTCCATGTTAGAGTGAACCCATGGGACCCTATCAGTCACCAAGGTAAAGCAGCATAAAACATACTTGAACTTGTACTGAAGACCAGTTGCTAAATTTCAGCTGGCCCCATGGCAAACTGAAGCGTGTATTTAGCAGTTTTAACTCGGATGGAATGGTTCTATGTGACATGTTTTGTCAGATGAGAATTTATCTTATGAACACAGAGTACCTGTAACTACCACATCAGGGGCTCAGTCTATGTTGGAATATGTCCCACAGACAGTGGAAAGGAGGACTCACTTCTAATCCAGTTCAACGTATCTTTTAGAGTAAAAAAAAGAGTCATAATAAAAAGTCTGTCTTCCATTGCATCTTCCAGGAAAAATATTAAAAATATTTCACTTACGGCATTTGCACATGGTTGAAGAGCACTGTATTCTGTTAAACAGTTTTCTTCCAGAATACCCTTGTTCACTAACTGTAATTGATCTTTCCTGAATAAATGGTGAAGATAATATTCTATT